TATATATATATATATATATATATATATATATATATAGAGAGAGAGAGAGAGAGATATTTTTCTCTATTAATAATAAAAAACAATAATAATAATAGTACTATGCTTAACAAGAAATCCCACCTTGTGAAGAAAAGATATTTGAAGTTGTCTCTCATTTACGAGTGAGAATTAGTTGTTTCTCTTTTGAATCCGATTTCGGTTGTTTATGGGTGACAGGTTGGTGGTTATTCTTGAAATTTGAAAACCGGAGTTATTTTGGGGGACATTTCTTCCTATAAATGTGCATTTAACACCAAGGACAAGGCATCATCACGACCACCATGGCCCTCCGCTTCCTCATCTTCTTCCTCCTCATCTCTTTTACAGGTTTGCTCTCTCTCTCTCTCTCTAAAAGATGAAAGTGTTTCAAAGATTTCTCTCTCTAACATATGAAAGTGTTTCAAAGATTTCTCTCTCTCTCTCTCTCTGTTCAAAGATTTCTTTATTACTCTCTCAAGGATGAAAGTGGTTCAAAGATCTCTCTCTCTCTCTCTTTCTCTCTCTAGAAAGATTAAATGGCATCTTGAGAACCTCTTTGTCAAGAAAGATTAAATGGCATCCTGAGGTCTATTATGGGTCTCTTTCTCTTTCTCTTTCTTCCTCATCCATAACTATCACTGCAGGCGGTGCAGTGTTCACCCTCAAGAACAACTGCCGCTACACAGTGTGGCCCGGAATACAGCCAGGCTCGGGGCACCCTGTCCTCGCCAATGGTGGCTTCAGCCTGCACCCAAACCTCTCCGTCTCCGTCACCGCTCCCAACAACTGGTCCGGCCGCTTCTGGCCACGCACATCCTGTCACTTCGACCAAAATGGCATTGGTAATTACTTCTTCATCCCTTCCCTTCTCTCTCTCTCTCTCTCCTCTACTTCTTTAGGTTTTTTAAAGGCAGTTATAACTAATTGCTAGAGTTTTCCATTAAAGAAACACAAGAAAGGGGTGATGAGGTTAACATTTGATCGATATGAATATTTACTATGAAAAAAGTATCCATGTCATTGTATCTCAATGATATTGGATTAAAAGTTGTAAAAGATTGATAAATTTATCTTCATCATCGCAGCCTTTTCTTTATGATTTGGGGTCCCGTGGCGGCTCTATTAAGAATCGTACATTTAGTAAACGACCCGTACATTAAATACTGAAATTTTAAAATAACATTTAAAAAAAAAGGGAGATTCTTTATTCAAAACCAGCTCTTATGGATCATTGTTTACGAAAATAAATATAAAAATCAGAGTGTTGTGACACTAGTGCTATTGGCAGTTCCACAGATAACGGGTGATATTTGAACATAACAATTGTTATTATCATCATAATGGGCGTGTAACATAACGGTCCTCACGGTTATATCCCCGTTATACCCATTTTAAAAAAAATTGGCATTTCTTTTTTAATTTGATAAGAATTACGCATTAATCATCAAAATAAATTGTACAGGAAAATGCGTCACCGGAGACTGCGGTACGGGCCTCCAATGCACAGGCACCGGCGGAGCACCTCCAGCATCACTTGCAGAGTTCACCCTCAACGCTCCTGTTGATTTCTACGATGTCAGCCTCGTCGACGGCTACAATATACCTGTGTCTATTTTCCCGAGCTTAACGGCAAAGGGTTCAGCTGAGTGCCATGCGGTACAGTGCGTGGGTGACTTAAACAAGAGGTGCCCCAAGGCTTTGCAGGTAAGCATGGATCATAAAATAATGAAATAACGATTATAACGCTCATTACATCTGTTATAATAAAATACTGTCAGATCTGTTAAAATATAATAGTGTTATAGGACTCGGCTGAGTCAACTCACATTCGCCACATATGCAAAGCCAAGTTGCCCCGAGTCGAGTCGTACAAGGATGCACAAAAATAAAATCTAAAAAGTTGTAAAAAATATGCGAATGGTTTGTATGTCTTTTTTCTTTTTTTTAGGGTTTTTGCCATAATTTCTATTTCTTACTTCTTCTTTTTTAAAATTATAATTTCTATTTTTTACATTTTCCTATTTTTGGATCGTTTTAAAATCTCCCCATCTATAAATCAATTTTTCTTTAGGTCCGTATTTTTCTAATTTGGACTCTTCACTATTGTTTTGGTTCTGTTTTACTTTTAATGCCTTTATTTTATTTTTCATACTTTTTTAACTTTTCCATTGCTTTTCTGCCGTGTAAGGGACTCGGGGGAGTCCAGCCTCAGCCTCAGCCAATGGCCCAGTACCGTACCTTGGCCGAGATAAGTCTATATAATCTTAATTTCTGGGAGATTACTTTTAACATTTAAATCGGTAGCGGAAAACTTGATAAGTCGAATCCGACTCACCTGAGTTACTCACTCATTAGGCCGTCGAGTTCAGAACTGACACCGAAACGAGCCATTCTATCCGATATATTTTATTATCATTTTTGTTGAGTGCCAATCCTGACTCAAGCTCTGGGGACCCTGGCTAGTCCGATCCATATCATGTTGTCAAGCACTGGTTTACAATTACTATTATTTATTCCCTGATTTATTTGATATCCATTATAACTTGAAGCTATATTTTGAACGTTGCAGATGGTTCAGGGGGGAAGGTTGGTGGGGTGCAAGAGCGCATGCCTCGCATTCGGGACACCGGAATACTGCTGCACCGGTGCATATGCGAGCCCCAGCACATGCCAGGCGTCAAGGTATGCGAAGGCGTTCAAGGCCGCCTGCCCAACCTCATATAGTTACGCCTACGACGACGCCACCAGCACGTTCACCTGCCCCGGCGCCGATTACACCATCAAATTTTGCTGAGGTGGCTTTGTGGCTGTCTGGTGGGAGGGTGGTTTTTATTTTCCCAGTTTATTTCCATGTTTTCTATTTATTTACACTGGTTCAAAGCAAGGTGTTGATGTAGTTACTGAGATTTTATGGATGGTAGCTTGGGAAGTTGAATAGTTGGAAGCAACACTTGGGCTTTGGTGAGTTGGTAGCTGGGAAGTTGGGGGAGGAAGACATGCTTGGTTCATATGTTATTTTTTTTGTTAAAATCGAAGGAAAAATAATTAAATAAATAAAGGAAAAAGAAAAAAAAGACAGAGACTTCAAAATTAGCTGCTTCTCTTTGGGCCTGAAGAAACAATGTTAGGAATTTATGTAAGTCATTTCAATTAATGTGAATTCTTCAAGGCCATCTCCTATCTTGTCTTTGTAAATTCGCTTTATATTGTAATAAGAAAAAATAGTCTAAGCTTGAAAAACCTTTCAATTGATCATCTCGGCGATATAAAGAAATAAAGAATTTCAAATCTTAAAAATAATGTATCTTCTAACATATTATCTAGACCGTCTATTTTCAAGATTTTCAAGTATTAATAGATCTGCTTGATTTGTACCATTTTTTAAATTTAAAATTTTATAATAACGGTTAAACATAGATTTCAAACCGTTATAAGGTTTCTCGCACCTGAATTAAAAAATTTAGATGTGTGCCTTGTATATTATAAAAGGGTAATCTTGTACAAACCTTACCCGATTAATAAAGGAAAAGGCTGGTCTTATACAAATCGCACCCATAAACCGCACCAATTAATAAATGGAAAAAGTTTATATAAGATTTAAACCTTATACTGTAAAAGTAAGATGCACCAAAAAAAATGCATCGAAAAAGGTTATTTCATCGCTAGAAAATTCTCCAATTGATCAACTTGACCTCGATATATATGGATATGAAAGACAAAATAAATTTCAAGCCTTAAAAATAATGCATCTTATAACACATTATTTAGACCGTTCAGCTTTAAGATTTTCAAATGCTCATAAATCAGCTAAATTTGCACCATTTTCAGAGTTTTCAATTTCATTATAGGGGTGAAAAATAGAGTTTTCAATTTCATTATAGGGGTGAAAAATAGACTTTCAGGCTACGATAAGAGTTTTGCCACAGCAAATACAATTTTCGGCCAGAAATACATCTTTTAAATAGATTTTGAGGTGGTCCTTGCGGTGCTTGTTTAAGGTTGTCACTTACCCTGAATAAATCCATGAGTTTAGTCAAATGCAGCAGCAGTAGTTAGTTGCTCTTTTCATCAAACCGCATAAATGGCTTGAACCATAATGCAACTAACTAGGATGGTTGCGCTGAAGCCAAGCCAATCAAGTTTGGCCCCTCATCACGCCTTCCTAGTAAATTTTTTATAGCTTTTCTTTTATAATCTTTAAGCAAATCAGCCAAATTCAGATACAAGGTTTGACAGAATATTGTTTATTTTTTGACAATCATCCCCAGCCCTTAGATCAGGTGGCTAATGTGATTTCATAAGATACTTTTTCAGACTTTAAGCATGATTCATGGCACTCCCCCAGCCGCCAGATTATATACCTTATGGCTAGAGGTGATTGGAACCTTCTGGTGCGAAAATTACACAATCCTATTGTATACCCTCTTGACAATAAATGAAAATCTATGGCACAACATGCAAACCAGGAAAACACCCTTGGGCATAAACTACCCTCATATTAATAAATGGGAAAATATAGAATGAAATCATTTATCTTTGGTAGAAGGTGATCACATTAATCTATTGAATGTGAAATTGGGTGGCTGCAATTATTCCATTAACCAAGCTCAAACTTCAAAATAATTTTTTTCAAACTTTATGACACATCCAAGCTATCAAATTTCACATCGGATGTTTGTGAGTAATTTTGACTACCTTGTGTCAAATGTTAATGGTCTCATTGTAAACAATCCCTGATAAAATTCTCAAAACTGTTCAATAATGTAATTGCCACCGGAATCTTCTATCATGCATAAAAGAGCATAACATTTTTGGTGCAAAATACAAAAGGGCATACCGACCACCAACCCCAACTTTTGGGGTTTCCACATCACCTCTCAACTACAGAGTTTCTAAACCATTTCAAAAAGCAACCCTAATTTAATTTACCAAGCAACCCATTACTCAGCGGGGAACAGCTTCAGTTATGACCTAAAAGTACTGAAGGAATATTAAGTCCAGGTTCCTAGGTAGCACATTGGCTTGCTTCGAATTACAGAATCAACACGATGCATCGACAGTTTCTAGTACCGAAAGTAACAACCTTGTCATCACTGGTGCACACAAACTCCAAGTGCCATGCATGAAGGGATATGGGACACTTCAATCTTCTTCTCTCTCTGGCGGTAAACCACAGGGCAACAACATTTTCTGCAAGAAGATATGAAGTTTGGTGAACCGAAAGCAAGTTGATGTAAAGTTCTATGCAAGTGGCTTATCTCTACTAGCATGTCAGGAGAAAACCAGAAAATCTAGAAGCAAACATGTGATTCTATCTTGATATCTAGAAACCAACAAATGCGATAGTTTTTTAGGGGGGCATTTGCTTGCTTTGCACTGAGAAAGAGGATAAACTTTGCAACATGCGAAGAATCAAATATGGATATTTAGGGCAGTAAGACAAATGTTTACTCCTCGAAATAAACGTGATCATACTAAAATCCACACTGATGACGAAGTTATTAACCATTGTGCACCAGTTTATAATGGCCAGCAACAATGAGCCATCAAACAATGTCCCTTGATTTCTACTATGCATATATAAGGCAGAAAAGACCCATCAAGTTATCAGTTGGTTCTGTACAATTTTTGGCTAGTTAAGCCATGTTACCTCCTGTGTCCAATCTAGTACTGAAGCTAGAGATGCAAACAACAAAAACATTCCCCCAAAAGAAAAACATTTCTGTAATTATGATCAACCAAAACAAAACAAAACAAAATTATACATGCAATAAACAAAACTCTGGACATATCTTCCAAGGATAAAAAACAAACTATTTATATACCATAGAAAGACCAAAAGATTGCCTGCACTCAAGGAATTATTTGAAGGAAAACATATATAGACCATAGAAAGTCCAAAAGATTGCCTACAATCAAGGAATGGAGGGAACAAACACCTTAGTTGATGCAATTTGCGAGACCAAGATCAGAAAATAAGTAAGTGATGCCTGACACCCCGATCAGAAATGTATGGGGAGACTTAAGCAAAGTGGGAATAAAAATGCATTTCTCAAAGGACGCGGTTAGCATAAGACCAAGACCGCATATCGACAAATGCGGGCTTGGCAATAAATATGTTTTTTAAATATAATTTGATCCTAATTTTTAGAGAATATATAATCTTTAACATGGAGATCATGAATATGAAAAAATAAATAAATTAGAAATAATAATTATATTAAGGAAACATTTGGACCGTTAGTTATAATTGTTTTTAGATGGACCACCTATTTGCATCCATCTTTAAGATGGATACTTTATACCTCTGGACCGCATATTGTACAAATGCAGTCCAGCCCGCATGAAACAATTGTTCTCTCTCAAAATATAGGAAGAGGATATAGATATGAGTATCTTATCCAACCAAATTAAACATTTGCTCGTATATGACATAAATGTGTCTATCAACACATCGATGCTTATAGATAGCTTATCATAATGCACAATATCAATTATCTATATGAATTTTCTACAGATTATATTTTTACGATATTGTATTTTTAATCATTTCATATTTGTAAGTATACTTGGAGTATCGAGCATCAATATAAGTGCTTACACAGTACATCACCAATACGTTAAGCATATACAAGTATCCATGCATCACAGTTTGAGGGGAAATATTTGAGTTTGTTAGTAGACAAGATGTAAACCAGTAAGTACATGTCAAAAGCCATATCCAAATACTAGAGCAATATTTCAACATAAGTCTAACAAAACAATAAACCTAACAATCTTTCAGTATTTAATTCAGGTAATCAGTAAAATGGCCTATGAAGACAATATCTTGATGCATTTGGATGAAAAAATCATGCACCAATGGACTTTCTTTGGGATGATTCTAGTGGTGGTTTTACCAACAAGAGTCACATAACGGCGCCCCATAGATGACATCAGTCCAAGAGAAAGATTACTGGTCCAATGTAGGTAAAATAGTTTGAAACTACAAAATATTTCAAAAGTATTGATTGATTCTGGGGTTCATCTGTAGTTCTGTACTACCCATTGTTGTTATACTGCCTTTGTATTAGACGCTACCTTCCTGGATTCATTTAACAGATCACCCGGACTGTGGGATGCCCCAATTTTTGACATGTACACCTAATTTATAATGACATCCGTAATAACTCTGGGACTCATCTCAATTATATCTGAAAAGAGATTTTTTTCTCCAAGGTTTCTTTCTCTCATCAAAGATTGACTCCTATAAGAAAGAAAAAATGACATAAATAACAAGGGCCAAACCAAATTCCAAAGTATTGCCAAATCATAGATCAAATACAAGGCAAGCCCAAACAACTCAAGAAGCAACTTGTTGCCCAAAATACGTCACAATCTCATCATACGCCATGACGAAAACTGATTTATAAAGGGACGAGTTGATGTGTAATCTGATTAAAACATTGGAAAAAACACTAATCTTTCATTGTAAGTAAGATGGGTAGTATGAAAAGAACATGCATTCTTATTCCTAAGATAAAAACAGTGTTCAAAAAATCGACTTGGCCAAGGTGTACTCGGGCCCTGGCTGAGGCAATTTACTCGGGCGAGTCCCAGTAACTCGCCCGAGTCCAGTGCATTTTTTTTTTAAAGAAAATGAAAAAAAGCACATAATATGTACATTTAGTGCGAAGCTTTCCAACATCAAATAGTCCATGGCTTGTTGGTTATGCCATGGGACATTGGCGGCCTCCTTAGCAGACGTTGCAGATTCGATTCCTGATGGCTGGCGAATTTTTTAAAGTTCCTATGAAATAAAAAAAATGACAAGTTTTTATAAACAAAGGGGTGTTCTGCGGAGATTTGAACCCTAACCATACGAAACTACACATAAACGATAACCAGGGAGACTTGATGACTTGTGTAATATAAATATGATGTAAAAATAGTTTATAAAAATGTTGTACAGCCAACTCGCCTCGCCAATAGAGCGAGGCCGAGTTACTCGACCAAGTCCTAGTGGCCTTGGCCGATTTCCAAAACCATGGATAAAAACATAAAATTCCATTGGCTGCTCAAAGAAGTTTTCAAGGCATTTGCTACCTATTTAACTTCCATAGGAACGTCTGAAAGAGATCAAGGTCAATAGAGTAGGTGTTACCCAAGACAATAGTAAAGATGCACCAGATGCCAGATATTAATGGAACTTCTAGCTGTTCTTCATGTAAAGTTAGGAGCATCGTGAATATGCAAAGAGCTTTCAGAGTCGTGTGTGTGTGTGTGTGTGTAGGGTGACTTTTTTATGAGGTGCCCACCTTATAGTATACAAGTAAGGCGCACCGCTAAATTTTGCTGAAAGATGTAGTTCCAGTGTCGAAAACCTTACAATGGCTTGAAAATCCATGTTCAACCCCAATTTTCAAATTTAAAATTTCAACAACGATGCAGATCAAGTAGAAATATAAACACTTTAAAACCGTGAATAGACGGTCCAGATAACTTGATACAAGATGCACTACTTTTAGGACTTGAAATTCTTTTTTTTTCTTCATATCCATACATCTTGAGGTTGAGATAATCAATTGGATGGTTTTTCCAATTTTAGAACTCTTTTCTACCAGATTTTTGACTTGCATCTTACTTCTATAATATGAACTTGCAATATATATAGAGCAATAATCTAATGCAACGGTTGTATCATAGTATAATGCAATGACACTTCTAAAAAACCATGTTTGTGGTATTTGTAAGATCCAAAATTTTGCACACACTCTTTCTTCATCTCAATAATTAATCCCAAAAAAAAAAAAAAGTTCAATTTGAACCCTAGATATAGTCAAAATGAGTCCCCTCCAAAAACGAATCTAGACCACTCATTTGGTGAATTTCAAGATCTTGGCCTTTGTAAACTCAAAATCATTTTTTTCTTTTTTAATATGTTTTCATCTAATGATAATAAAACCATCCAAAAAAATTGGAAATGGAAAAATTCGTCTAAGACCTAGATCTAAGCATCTTACCAAATGAACGGCCTATGTTAATTGGGCTAAAAAAACTTTCTAGGCTGTATTTTCAATTTTTTTCTTTTTTGTGATTGTTCATTAGAATGAAAAGAGTGTATATTTCAAAATTTGGATCAAACAAATGGCCATAACATGGTTTTTGAAGGTTGTTGCATCATATTACTTTGCAACCGTTGCATGAA